AATAATAATGTACCACAGAAAGGTTCAGAGAACACTAGAAAATTCTTCAATTATAGGCCTTCACAGCATCATTGCATGCCACATATAAATCGTATCATTGATTTTTTTTTACTAATATTTTTATTTTTCCCCTAAGAGATTCCTGTAAGTCTTGACTATTTTTTAGGCTATCACATTGAAAAACTTGGTACAAATGTCACAGGACAAACTACCTTACACTGGCCATTTAAAACATATCTGTGGTGAAAATATACAAATTTATCTAAAGAGCTTTCATCAAGATAAATGTACAGTACATTTCAATAAAGGAGCAAGTAAAATATCTCCAGCTCAGGGTCAATGTATATTTGTAGTACATGATTAAATGGTGATGCCAAAAATCAGAAGACATAAGTACTTGGTCCACCTTTATCAAACCCCATAACTCGGTAAAAATATTTCAACGACTACTCATGATAAAGGAGATAAAAACAAATCCCCTAACCCGGTGGTCGGCAAACTGCGGCTCTTTGGCCCCTTGAGTGTGGCTCTTCCACAAAATACCACATGCGTGCGCACATGTACAGAGCGATTGAAACTTCGTGGCCAATATGCAGAAGTCGGTATTTTGTGGAAGAGCCACTCACAAGGGGCCAAAGAGCCACATGTGGCTCATGAGCCACAGTTTGCTGACCACTGGGCTAGTTTGTTGGAATAGAATTGTTCATAGTATTTTTTAACAATCCTTTGTATTTCTGTGGGGTCTGTTATTTTGCCTCTTTCATTTCTGGTTTTGTTTATTTGGGTCCTCTCTTTGCTTCTTGGTGAGCCAGAAGCTTCCAGAAGATGCTTTGTATGTCTACTGTGATCCTGGCTAGAGGTTCATCAATCTTGTTTATCCTTCCAAAGAACCAGCTCTTGGTGTCATTGATCTTTTGTATTGGTTTTTTTTTGTTTTGTTTTTTTGGTTTCTATGTTATTTATTTCTGCTCTGATCTTTATTATCTCCTTCCTTCTGCTCACTCTGGGCTTTTCTTGTTCCTCTCTTTCTAATTTTTTGAGTTGTAGATTTAGATGATTTACTACATTTTTTATTTTTTTGGAGGTAGGCCTGTAGAGCTATAAACTTCCCTCTCAGGACTGCTTTCGTTGTGTCCCATAGATTTTAGATTGTTGTATTTTCATTGTCATTCGTTTCCAGAATGTTTTTAATTTCTTCTTTGATCTCTTTGGTAACCCAATCATTGTTAAATAGCATGCTATTCAGCTTCCAAGTGTTTGAATTTTTTTTATTGTTTTTATTGTAGTTTATTTCTAATATTATGCCATTGTCTGAGAAGATGCTTGATATTATTTCTATCTTCTTGAATTTGTAGAGGCTTTACCTGTGACCCAATATGCGGTCTATCTTTGAAAATGTCCTATGTGCACTTGAGAAAAACGTATATTTTGTGGCTTTGGGGTGAAATGTTGTGAAGATGTCAATTAAGTCCTGATACCCTCTCCCCAGAAACATACCCTAACATACTAAGTTTTGCATATATTTTCAGGGCATTCACACATTCCTTGATGCCATCCTTCGACCCCTGATTAAAAACCTTTGCTTTAATGGCTTTTCATTACCTTCAGCTTAAGATCAAACTGTTATACAAATGAGAAAACTCAGATAGGCAGAAAGAAAAGAAGTATCCTATATTATAAAAAGGTAGTATGCAAATTGACCAGTGTATTTCTTCACAGTTGCTGAGTGTATAATTTAGATGTTTTCTGTCCTCATCTCTCACTACTTCCCAGCATGCTCCTCATGCCCCAGTCCAACACAGCGACTTGCTATCCTCTCACAGGGATGTGCTGCTTGCCACAATGCTTTGTTAATTGCCTGTTTATATATTTATCTTTTTTATTTCACTGAACTTCTTAAAGATTTTGATTGCATATTAATTTTTGTATATTTAATATCTAAAGCTCCGCTTAGTTTTAGTGGCTAACACATTGTATTAGGTAAATGTTTGGCTAAATAAATAAATTACAAAATTTATACATATTTATAAAAGAAAATGAGAAGAGGAGAAAGAACAATGAATTACCTATGGTCCCAACATCCAAATACAGCAGCTCCTAAGATTTGTATGTCTACTGTGATCCTGCATGGATAATTTCTACCTCCTAGGGCTCTGCTCCTTCATAAGTAATTGGGGGATGAGAGTCATTGCCCTTTCCCACTTCAAATAGACAGTCTGACTTCAATATATGTAGAATTCCTAATAATGCTATTAAATGATTTAATATTGAGAATATTAATCATATTAAAATTTCACTACTTTCTGCTTATTCCTGGGCCTGCCTTCACCTGCTCAGTTCTGAAGAACTAAAATTTATATCTTCTTATCCTTCTTTCCCAAGAATCTTATCTTGGAAGGTTTAAGAAAGTCTCTATATGATTCAAACTTGTATTCTCACAGAACTAGCACAGTGCTTTGCATATTTAATGGTTCTTAATGCCATCTTATAAGTTAATTTGTATGTTTGGAAGAGAATAGGTACATAGTTGTATACTCATGGTACTTTTTATCATAGTGTTTTCCTGAGGAGCAAACTGAAGATCAGAGAGTCTAGTAGCTTACTAGAGTCTAAACTCTAGATATACTGGGATTAATATGAAATCAGTATTTTTAAGAAATAAAATTTCAGGGCTAGGGAGTGTTGAAACAGACTAAAATCTAGCTCTTTGGTTTCCAAATCTTCAGCAGTACCATGAGCAGTACCAAGTTGTCTGTCTCAAGGAATACCTGGCCAAGTTGAACTGAGATGACTGCGAGGTTTTTTGAATGGACTCAAATTCTGGGGGAATTTCATGCTGCTTTGGGTTTATGCATTTTCCTCCATTTTTGCCATCAAGGCTTTGTGTGCTCAGCTTCTGTTCTATTTGAAGGAAAGAACTCAAGATGATTAACCCCTTTTAATGATTCCTGGCCCCATCCTTCTGTCTTCTATCTATTTTTCCTTTTTCTTTTCTTTTTGCTTCTCAAAGGGAAAAAAAGGCAAGTGGTGAATGGGAAAGATGTCAAGTACTAAAACTTTTAATTCATGTTTTTGTAAGGCTCTGATTACTGTAGTCCTTCATCTAGCTGTAAGAGGAGATTCATTATTGAAACAGCATTGAATAAGCCAGCTCATGCCTTATTATTCTTTGCTTTAATTTTAGGATAACCTCTTCTTCATGCCTCATTGTCTGAAGGTTGGGCTTTTGAACAAAAACACATCGCATTTAGAAATACTAGATCCTAGTAATTTCCCTTCTCATTCAGCCATTTCTTGACAGCTGCTTTTGCCCTGGATTGATTATTTGTCTGGGAGGAAAATCTTCATATCTCAGTGTTCGGTAGCTTAAGGGAGATTATGGGCAGAGCCTTTGGATTTTATCTGATTTTCCTTTGCAATTAACTTGACCTCTCCTGACTTCTAGACAGGCTGTTAAAGCCAGAATGTTGCTTGAAGCAAGATGTTTGATACACTTCCTTGGAGTCATCTTTCCCTCACGACACAGATGCTTTTGGACTCTGTTAGCATACTGTCCAACACAGAATTAGGTTTTTTTATAGCTTGACTTCTCTAAGAACTAGCTCTTGCATATTTGATCAAGGGTTATCTTGTAAGCTTTGAAGCTGTAAGAGGAAGTTTCTAAAGCTCTCACGTACATGATGAAGAAGACAAGTCTTCTATGCACATGGAAAGCTAATAGCTATAAATTCTGAGATGGAAACCAGCGAATAGTATCTGAAGAGCAATGGGTTTCTTACTGAAATGTTCCATTTCCATGACCTGTGCTTGCAGTTGCATCTGGTAGAGGGCTTTGTGATGCAGCTGCTGACTGTGACCTCTATGCTGTGAAGCAGCTAGGGCTGCTCAGGTCAGGGTCAGGCCGGAAGCTCTAAGGTTGGGAAAGCGAGCCAGGCTCTTTGTAAAGGAGGACCAAGTGCGGCTGTTTATTTTTGACACTTGAAAAATAAAGTCATACTTTTCACATCAGTAGTTCTGGGTTTTGTATTGTTTGCTTTGTTTTAAGGGGAAACCCCATTTATTTTTTTTACAGGCATGAGGAGGGACCTAACTCTAAAAAACTGAAGACAGAGGAAGAAGCCCAATTTAGTCTCTCCAGCCTGGCTGAAGGCACGGTCACCAAGGTGAGCAGAACTTTTCCAGCGTGCTCTCCCCATTGCAGGAAGATGGGCTGGGGGAGACTGCATCAGTGTTTGTTAGTCCTTCCAACATATAAGCCACGCAGGCGCATCCCATACTTCTTCCTGGAAGTAATTACTGTCAGTAAATTGCTTATAGAATGATCTGTATGATACACAGTGCACAGAGCACTATATAATACACAGAGCATGGAACATTGCTGTGGGAGTACTTTTTGTAGAGATTTTTTTGTTGTTGACTTCACTTTGCAGCTTTCTATTTAGTCAAAATGATAGGGGTTGATGATACAAGTCTTAATCTCCAAGTACATAAAATTTGAGTGTAACTCTTTTTTCTGATATACAACTTCAGAACAGGTTTCATAAGTTTAGGATTTCTCCAAACCAAATATCCTTCGACACCTGAGATCTTTATTTAATGGAAAGGTTTTTGGAACTTAAAGATAATTGCCTTATTTGAAGTGTCATTAGTTTGAATCAATGGGTCTTAAAAATTGTCCCTTACTAGCCAAGTGCACTGGGAAGGTCAGTTAGCACTAGGGCATGCCTTTTCCCTTCTTCAAAAAGAAATGCTCTCAGAAAAACTGAATGTCTGAGAAATGATTTGGGTTTTATTTCACTGTTTTATAGTGAAGGAAAAAAATTATGACCTTATTTGCTCGGAGAACTTTTCTGACTGCTTTACCAGAGCAAATTGGAAACTTTAGTATGTTTTGTGCCGAAGTCACCAGCCATAATAGAGCCCTGTTGTCGTCTTCCTTTGAGCTGAATGATACTTAGGCCCTGTTTAGGTTGGGACCGGAAGATTAAAGACATAAGTATGATCAGAAAGTGCCATATAGTGTGGCAGAGATTTCCATCTTTGAAACTAGCACTGCAGTAAACCTTGATACACGATCTGCTTGTACTGTTGGGTGACATCTTCAGTTTGGGCACGTTAATATATTCTACCAAAACTTCAATGCCAAAGGGTCAGCAGCAGTCCCCCCAAAAGGGGAAGTTCAGAGAGTCAAGCATCAGGCTGTTATTTTTCACGCCATCTTTGTAGGACAGATATATTTGGAACTGGCCCCACACTGCAGAATCCTCCCTTCCTGATTGGTTGGGTGTCAGGATGCACAGGCAGTTTGCCACATAAAGCCTTCAAGCTGGGCTGGCTAGTCGCTTGGTAGTAACACTTCTGACCCCTCTGGAAAGAAGTCAGCTTGCACAAAGGGAGGTAAGTGAAAGTACAGTCGGCAGCTGTATCTGCTAGCTTTGAACAGAACCCTGGAAATGACTAGGAAGGGCCTTCACTCTGGCTTTGGTTTTATTCTATAAGAGGACACTTCCAACATCAAGCCACCTTGTCTTGCCTGGGGTGATCTGCAGGGTTATTTTCTGTGGGTGTATTCTAGGTCGGAAGTGTGAATCAATGCCAGCTTTGAGGAAGGTGAGTGATATGCCACTGGCTCTGCATTTAGGGAAGGTGTTCAATTGAGTTAATGGATTTAAAATCGAGATTAAGAAGTATAGCCTTTTGTAATAATGTTATAACCTCTATATATAGCAGTTTTCTTTCTTGTGGGTCTTTGTGTTGTCCCTTATAAGTGATCTCATTGAGACATTATGAGCAATGAGATAAACTCAGTACAGGTCTGCCCAAACAGAGGACTAATTTGTTAAGAAAACTGTGGGCGAGAACCTTGGAGTTTTTAGTTCCACTTCATTGAACTTATTTGGGTGACTGTGAATGAGCTTAGAATAAAACAACTTTGTGTCATATCTTCCTATTTTCTGGGATACACATTCTTAGTCTAGTCTTAAGGATTGGAGCCCCTTTGCAACCCAGAAAGACCTTGCTGCTGCCCTTTGATTCAATACTTCTGATATTGACTACATTCTCACAGTTTTCTTATCATATATAACCTAGAATTTCCTTTAGGCTTGGGTTAGTATTAAAATGGCTTCCAGAATGAATAGAGGGTCTTGAACTGACATTCACATACTCCTTGAATGTGTTTATATTCCTGTTCTCTTACCCCGTAACGCAAGGGTGAGGAAACTTTTTTCTGCCAAGGTCCATTTGGATATTTATAACAAAGGCCATAAAAAATTATCAGCTTAAAAATTAGCCTGCTATATCTGGTCAAACATTTAATTAATTCACCCCTAATGCCTTGGTAGGGCCAGACAAATGATTTTTTGGGCCTTATATGGCCCGCGGGTGGGTGTTCCCCACTCTTGCCTTTTAAAGAGTGGCAGCTAGCATTTGTAGTCCTGCAGCTTTGTGTACACAGTAGTAGTCATCAGTGCTGCCCAGGGTCAGGCCTATCTGTGAGCCACCCTCTGTGTGTGAGTGTTAATGCATGCATAGAACTTTCTCTTCTCACTTCTTGGTATTTTAGGGGGAGAATTGCCTAGAACACTACACCATTTTAGTTTAATCATCTATAGTGGCAGGCATAGGCATAGGGTGCCTTAGTACTTCGAGTTTGAGAATCCTAGCAAGATGCCTGGACATGCTGTGCTGTTGCCCAGCAGCAGTCATAACCAGCTAGCCTCAGAGAGAGCATGTAATCCACCCGGCCAAAGTTTGTTGGCAGCAACACCAAAGGCCAGACCTCTGAGAATTACCTAAGGAAGAACAGCTCTGTTACCATGGTAATTCTTTTAGGTGGGTCATGGATGTTTTATGTTTTGAGATCGAAGAAGATTTTGTGTTTTTGATGAAAGGTCATGGCCTTCTTAGCTTTTGATTGTATGTTGTTAGTTACTTTGGCCAAAGTCAGGGGTCCTCCCTGTGGAAGTGATTGGCCTCCCTGGTTGATGTAGGCATGGTCTCTTCAGGGGGCTGAGTCCAGAATCATCACCATTATGAAGGTAGCCACTAGTGTCTACTATGTTCAAGCATTGTGCACCCACTTTGTTATATTTTTGTCTTAGTTACCTATCCCACAGAGCAGTCCCACGGTCACATGAGCAAGTGGAGAAAATGTGAGAGCTTTAACAGCTGGTGCCAGAATTTGCTGAAAATTCTTCCATTGTTTTAATTGGGAAACGACTTTGATAAGTGCTTAGGGTAGAAATAGACTCTGTCCAAGGCTTGGTTGTTAACCAGTACTGGGGTTCAGAGGAGGGGGGAGCTGCTAGCATCATAGAAGTAGACAAACTGGAGTTTAGTCAGGAGCAGGGAGGAGAAAAGTATAAAAGCTAAGAGGGAGAGGAAGTGAATGAATTAGGTAAAGGGAACAGAGTTCTATAATACATTCGCAATTTATGACTGCAGATCCTCAGAGTCAATAAAATCAGAATGGTTGGCTTCAGTGCTCTGGTGAAGAGGCAGAGTTTTGGGTCTTGAATTATTTCAGGCAGAGCAGAGAAAGCACCTCAGAGCACAGGAGGCCAGAGTCTGAAGAGCTCATGAGAAAGTAAACTCCTCAGAATGGTCACATTGAGGAAAACATGTTTCCCTGAGGCCATGGAATTGGGCATTTGAAGCAGATGTATGAAAATAAGGGCAGTGGCCCCTAGATGGCACATAGGTTACAAATAGGTACTATTATCTCCTCTTTACAGATGGAAAAACTGTAAAACTGGAGATGAACTTCCCCCCAAATCACACAAGGATTCAAACCCATTTCTTTCTTAAATACTAGATTTTTCTACTTAGTCATTATTTCTCCTAATCCTAATGGCCTCCTTTCCTACATGTTTTTTGTTATACATTATAGGGTCATGAATTTAAAAGCTTGTGTCTATAGATAGGACTTTTGATGAGTAGACTGTCTTTTGATGTTGAATGTGACTGAGTGCCATAGTGTTGTGATGGTGAAATGTCCCTCTGTGCCTCTGTCTAGGACTTGGTCAGTTAGATCTCCTCAGTGGCCTCACAAAAGCAGACTTTTTGCAGAGCTATGGGAAAATGGGACCACCCACTTGTTAACTAGTTCTCTTTTGTGGTCCTAACTTGCCTTCCCTTTCTAGCTTCAAGCTTCAGAAATTTTGTTTCCTCAGTGCTTTTCCTACTTTTGTTTTTTTCTTGTGCATGTCTTAGCCAAGGCCCTTTGTGAGCCAAGACTCACTTCCCCTGTAAGCCCAGAGTTGTCCTCCAGTCGTTAAGCTGCCTCCTTGGTATCGATCATTATCCCTCCCGGACTTCTCTGACTAGGGCAAGGGTGGTAGAAGTCTTGCTCTTTTCTCCATTGTACCTATTTTTAAAAATTCAGTTGCCAAAAGCATGATCAATAAGTATTAGTAAGATTGTTTTACCCTTAGAACTTGGCCCTTTCACCTGTTGTTGTAAACTAACTAGAGGCCCGTTGCATGAAGAGATTCGTGCAATAGGCCTTCCCTTCCCCTGGCTGCCGGCACCAGTTTTCCTCCGGCACCCAGGCCTTCACTCCTCTTCGTGGCTCCAGACGGAGCCTTCAGTCTTCACTCCACTGCTTTGCCCTACATATGCAAATTAACCACCATCTTTGTTGGGTTAATTTGCATTCTCTCCTGATTGGCTGGTGAGCATAGCGGAGGGGTGGTTAATTTACATGAAGTCAAACTGAGAAAATTGTGATCCTATTCCCTTGACATCAGTTGTCTACATTAAGCAGCTACACATTTTATCTTCTGTTTTTTTGGTGTGAGGGATATTTTTTGTCCTAAGTTTATTGGCAGAGAGGAGATAACACTGAACCCCAGGAATGTGTTCTTCCTGGCTGCTGATGCTCCGGTAAGCTGTCTTTGATTCTCAAGTGTCCTTCTTCTGCTGGTCTCTTTCCTCCTTTCTTACACACCCCTACATGCTATCACTACAGTTTACAATAAAAAAATTCTTGACTATAGCTATATATGTAATAATTGTGGAAGTGGAGTTGTTTCCCTCATGCACAATTCATAAGTGCACCTGGAATTTGTAGTTGTAGGTTATTGGAAGAACCTGAGTCCACAGAGTTCTCAGACTCCTTGAATCAGGGTTATCCTATATAATAAAAGCCCAGCGACCATAACGGCAGAATGACCAGAACGACCGCTCGACCAGTCACTATGAGGTGCACTGACCACCTCTCAGTCCCTTTCCCCAGCTGGCAGGCTCTAATCGCTGATGGCAAACGGAACCCGGTGGTGGGGGGGGACTGGCAAGCAGGTTGAGTGGCCAACCTCTTGGTCCCTCCCCCCGGCCTGCAGGCTCCAATCACTGATGGCGAACGGGAACCCGGTTGGATGGAGGGGATGCGGGCAGCCCCAGGACAAGGCCTCCACCCTGCCGGTTGCCCCACACACAGAGGTGATCCACGGTGGGGGTGGGGCCGGCGAACAGGCAGCAATGGCTGACCTCTCAGTCCCTTCCCTGGCTATCAAGTTCCCATCGCCGGATGGCGAAAGGGGAACCGGGGTGGGTAGCAGTGAGATGGCCCTGATTGCAGGCTAGGCCTAGGGACTGTACCCGCACACGATTTTGTGCACCGGGCCTCTAGTCTACTTACATGAACACCCTTCTCCACTAGCTCATCAGCAGGGCTTCTTAGGAGGAACACCATGGATTTCCAATTCTTTGTCCCTTCCCTGCTTTTACTTAGAGAGAGTACTAAAGTGGTCAAAAGATGACAGCAAATTAGAGAAAGAAAAGCCACATTACTTCAGTCCTCCAAATGATTTCTACATGATTGAGATAGGTTTGAATTTACAGGTTTCCACTGAGTATGAAATATTATGTAAAGTAGCTGAAAGGTACCTAGTGTGTCAAAAACAGGTTCTCTGAGGACCTTAAAAGCCAGAAAAGATGAATATTTGGAGACAAATAAAAGGATGGAATGTAACTTTTTATAATATGAGATGATTCTTCCATCAACCCTACTTTTGCCACTTAGATTGTAGGTTCTATACTAATTAGGTTTCCAAGTAGTGACAGGGTGGCAGAGCTCCATTCCACCAAATTGAATTCACAGGGACATGATTGGTTAAAAAACAAATTTGTCAAGAAAATATCCTAAGTAGAAATGGTAGGGACTCCTATTTGGAGTCTGATAGTTAACATTAGATTTATGTACAAGTGAGCAATAAAGTGCACATATCCCCTTGATTACATGATGGTCACTTGATTCTGTGGCTGCTGAAGTATTTCATTTTCTCTCAGATCTCTTCCTCCCGCTGTGTTTGGACACATCTCATCCTCGTCTTTTGGCCTTTGTTCTCCAACTTACCCTTATTCATTAAACAACATCCTTTCCATTTTAAAGGATATTCTTAAAATTTACTTAAGCACGACCTTCCAACAGTAGGTAGGTAGACTGTGGTATAATTAGTGATAAAATTATATTGTTCATCAAAGCTAAATAGACAAGTTTTTTCAGTTATGTTTTTTGTATGGTATAGCACTATCCCATTTTCACAGAAGTTTACTTACATATATTATATGGTTTTTCTGCCGTTGAATCAAGCCCTAAATTTT